AATACACACCAAAACATGGTTCAGGAAAAGTTAACACCTGCTAAACTGGGAACACCAATTTTTTACCTGTTTAGAAAAAATATAATTTTTTATTGCCCCATCGGAATTTTCATCTTAAAATAAGTATGTCTTTTATGTGAGTAAATGAAAGAAAAAAGTTTTATTTCAAAGTACAAAAGCTGATCATGATCATGGAAGTTAATCCAAAGTAAGTCAAAGGTACTGGTTCTATTATTCATTCAGAATTCATGGGCAGGAGAGAAGTGTAGCCATAAAAGGAAAAGAAATGAGAGTTACTCACCCAAAGCACGGAACAAAGATGAGGAGCCCGGGAAACTCAGAAGCCCTCGTACTCCTGATGGCTCTGTTCAAAGGCCCTGTGATGCTTTTCCTCCTGTCAGTCATCCTCCCCCTCCTTCAGCTGAGGACACCTGTTTATTGTTGGAGTTTCTTGTTCCTACCACCATCCCTTTAAGAAAGTAGGGGAAAGAACTGGTTTATGCATATCTGGGGGCTAAGGTATGTTTTGGGGAGAAGGGAGTTTCTCACAGCATATCCCAACCATGGGCCAAAGCATGAAGCATGGTGCCTTCTGGGAATATACACAGTTCCCCACCTCACCTTTTGTATCATTGATGCACTTACAGAAGTCCCTTCACTCCTGAGGTCTGTGCCACTTGCTCAGGTCATCTGACCTCTACTCCAGTGGTGCTCTTCCACTTCCTTCCGTAGCTTTCTTATCTTGTCTCCTACCTCACCATCTTCTGAGCCTATTCCCCCCAATCATCTCCTTAGGCCACCAACTTCACCACAAAGTTCCATACCATGTCCTTGGTTCCCAATGTACTAAGAAGCCATCTCCTAGATCAGTGGTTCTCAACCTTCCTAATGCCACGACCCTTTAATACAGTTCCTCATGTTGTGGTGACCCCCAATTTCATTGTTACAAATTGAACATAATTAAAGCATAGTGATTAATCACAAAAACAATATGTAATTATATATGTGTTTTCCGATGGTCTTAGGCGACCCCTGTGAAAGGGTCGTTCGACCCCAAAGGGGTCTCGACCCACAGGTTGAGAACTGCTGTCCTAGATCTACCTAAGTTTCCTTATTATCTCTACTTACATTTTTTTTAAATCTTCATCCTTCCTCTTTCTCGTGATCCTCTCTGAAAGGATGAAGTCTCAGTCCTTTTATAGCCTAACCCCTCCACTGTGTTCCTGAACCTGTCACATCTTCTCAATACCCACTCCCACCCTGCCTTCCCAGCCACGCAGGCTCTTCGGTCTGACTCCTCCCTTTCATGATGATATTCCTGGGACGTGGTTCACTTTCTCTCCATTCACGCACACCTCCCCACCCCTCTCCCCACCCCTGGGCCTGAAGTGATCTTCTCACCACTTTGTCTTAGACTTATCATCTCTGTGAACTTGACAGCGTCAGGAGAGCTTTTTCTCTGAATCTCCTGAGACAGTGCCCTCCAGGTTCTGCTGACTCACCTTGATTTTACTTTTTCATAATCTCTGCCGTAGGTTTTCTCCATGACTTTGATTCCCTATCGCTTCCCCCGGCTTTCTGTGTTTCTTCTCTTTATCCTTACCTTTATAATACCCTTTCTCTCCTGTTCCCTCTTAATCCCATCCACTCCCCAAACTTGAATAATTCACAAATTTGTCTCTGTCCTTGATCTTTGTCCAGGGTCCTCGTTCTTAATTTCTAACTGCCTGCTAAACGTCGACAGCATGATGTGTTATCATTACTAAAACACCAACTGTCTGAAACCAGACTCACCACTCTCACCAAAACCAGTTTCTCTGCACATTTTGTCCTATTTAATAGCATCCCATTCTCTGTCACCCACAGTCACCTTTGACCATCAAATCCCATGGGTTATAGCTTTGTATTGTCGCTTGCATTTGGCCTCATCTTAGGGTGCTAAGTTAGACTTACGTTGTTATGGAGCCTATTAACTTGTCATTTAAGGGCAGGGGACTTGTTTTGCTCATCCCTGCTTGCCACTTGGTGGCCAGCACAGTGCCCTTACCATAGGACAGTGGTTCTCAACCTTCTGGCCCTTTAAATACAGTTCCTCATGTTGTGACCCAACCATAAAATTCTTTTCGTTGCTACTGCATAACTGTAATGTTGCTACTGTTATGAATCATAATGTAAATATCTGATATACAGGATGGTCTTAGGCGACCCCTGTGAAAGGGTCGTTTGACCGCCAAAGGGGTTGCGACTCACAGGTTGAGAACCGCTGCCATAGGAGATCCTCACTGTTTGTTGAATAAATGACTGTAAATTAAGTGTTTTAATGCTTTACTTGCATCTTGTGAGCTACTTGTCATTGCACCTATTTTCCGTCATTAGTTCTCGGAATACTGTTATTCTTAATCAACTAAGCACTAGAATAAAGTTTCACTCCCAGACCCCCAACCATGCCACTTCTGCTCTTTTTCAGGAAGAGCAAGTAGGTGAGGATGCATGGGTCGGGAGGCATTAATCTAACCTTCCTTCTTGAGAGCCAGCTATGATGCAGAGGGTTATCATGTTTTCATGGCAATTTTAGATAACTTACATTTCCCTTTATACATTGATTTTTTCTGCTTTTTCTCTTCCTTATTTTTAACAGGTTTTCGAAATGGAAACCACCACTATGACATTAGGTGCTATTGATAGTACATCAATATGATGCAGCTCGTCCCCTGCCCAGCAGAGTGTGGCTGCTCTGTGCACGGCCCTGTAATGCATATTAGTTGCACAGACATTAGGGAAGCCCTTCCCATCCATATGTGTGTGCATGGCCCGTGGAAGTTAATAATGCCATAGATCACATGCACAGAGAATGTGCAACATACGTCAGAACGGCGGTGGGCTCATGCAAAATGAGTACTGGCATCCGAGAAGAGGAAAACCAGGGGAAGATTTCTGTCCTTTCAAATCTACTGTTTACCGAATTATTTGTTTCTGTGAGTCGCGGTATCCCAGGCCCACATTCTGCTGTTGTTCGTGTGTTTTTTCAATATGTGCCCCTCTCTTTGGCCACCTTATTTCCTGTGGATAACAAAAGAAGCCCTTTGGAGAAATGAGAGAGAGAGCAATTACACATTGCTATTCATGTTGCAGGAGTCGCACTCTGTCCTTGGGGAGTTTAACAATGAATATCCCACATTAATTGCCACAGTAACTGCGTGTCTGACCTTGCTGAAATGTAATACATCAGCTTTACATAGGAAAATTATTTGCCACCAAAAGATTTAAAAAGAATCATCATAAAATTATAGTGCTGTTTTAGAATGACTAATATTTTTGTGTGTTTAAGAAGATCCTGGAGGACTCAAACGACTAGGTCGCTGCATTGTCTGAGGAGTCAGGATCCTGGGAGCTGAAATCATAATTTTATCACTGATTTGGTTGACAGTTATAACAAGATGAGTGCCCTGCTTTCCTTATGAAGGGTGAACAACATACATGGGGATCCCTGATAGGTCTGTGGGACTGATGAATAATAAGGCAGGCCAGACCTAGTGCCTCTTCTCCTTTGGGGAAGACTGTTCTTTATGTTTGCACTTAATTATAAGGCAGGGTTTTCTGCCAGCAGCAGAAACATGCAGGGAACCCTAGACATGTTTCCCTTTTTAAAGAAGCGACGTCATTTTTAAGATAAAGCCTAGTTTACTGTCAACTTTTCTTGCTTTAATCTTTTGCTCAAATCCTCAGATATCCAGAAACTAGGTTTTCTGACGTGCATTTGAAGGTTCTTTTTTCCGGGCTCTCTTACACTGACTGGCTGTCGCACCTGGGGAAGATAGCACAGGACACACTCGGAGAGAGGCCATCGCTCTGGGCCCGCGGCACACGGCTGGGTCGGCAGCCAGCCCACTCCGACAGCCACGTCAGCGGCCACGCTGGCTCTGGGCTGTGGAAGCTGCGTGTGCAGAAATGACTGATTGTTCCGCCGTCTCTCCTTTTTCAGAGGGACTGAGGTGAAGAAAGTCAGGGCACTCACCCATGACATCCGAATCTCAGCCTAGATGAGATTCTTACTAGAGATCCCTTGTTGCTTGTATTCTGGCAAAACAAGTGCATGATAAATTGGAAGGCCCATCTCAAGTCTGGGAAAAAAATGGAACCGAATGATTGAATGGGTAGCTTTAGGCCCACCTTTTAAAGCAAGGCTGTGACATGACTGAGTATACGTATCTACCACCGCTTTTTAATGTGGCTTGTTCATTGTTTTTGTGTTT